TTTCAAACCATAGGTGTTTCCAAAAGGTTCAAGTCTAGCTACCGACATATCAGAGGCGTTGCTGAGTATGATAGAGAGTGGAGAAACAGAACAACTAGAAAAAGAAATGTTGAATGAGATAGAAAATGAAGGCAAAGCAAATTGTTCTTCTTTAGAGAACAACAAGGGGAAAAATAATTCATCAATAGGCCTTCCGCCTTACCTTGGTTTGTTTTCGATCTGTTCTACTATTGCTATTCTTGGTTTGTCATATTACATGATTTGCTGGTTAGTGAAGAATGTAGAAACTTTGACAAGCCACGCAGTTTTAACATTAACACAATTATGGAGAATATGGAGATGGACAACCAATATTTTTGCTTGGTGCTGTTCAAAACTTCAATCAAGGATCATGAGTAGAGTAAGCAGCTGCACAGAAACAAGAAATGCAGAAGAGAATGCCGCTAATAGCCAGCAAATCCCAGTGGTGGTTGAGCTTGTTGATACTGTACTGGCTGCTCATGCTTCATGAACTATACATTATGTTCATACTGCTATAAAAATTAGTCTATTACTGCCAAATATTTTAAGATTTTGGATACTCACTTTGCTTAGATATTGTGACAGGTGCGGTTGATGTTATGTACTGACTGATCATAGTAACATTCTTTCAAACATCCAATATCTCTATTAAATCATTCCTATACTGTGTATACAAAGTTGCCCGACTAAGGTAATGAAGCAATTTTCTTCAACAATAAAAAAGGTACTGAAACAGTAGAAAAGGAAAACAAATAATTTGTATCGTGACTAAAAAATTGGATCCAAATTGATTTGAGCACGTTGATGATTTCAAATTATGACAAACTTAATTTCGTTCTCCACGTTTCTCCAATAACCTTTCTGGGTTGTGGATTATCCGGTCCTCTGTCCCTCTGTCCTGATGTAAAGTATAGCCATCCATCCCAAAATCCAGCTAATGTTGTTTTCACTCGGTATGGAAGTCTTCCGATCACTGACCATTTCTGCAACCAATAGTAAAACCATTTCAGCTTGCTTGAAATGCCCAACTATGATCATTTTTAATCGTGAAGAAAATGATACACATGTACAATTTATCAGGTCGAACAAAAGAATGTCATAATAAACTACAAGACTCACAGATAAGTCAGGAATATCTGTTATAGAATGGCCTAAGAGGTATTAATGGATAAAAAGAAATGCATAACCAAAATATGTAAAGAGCAAAAGAGTACCATAGAGTCTAAGTTAAATAGGATGACCTCTCCAACCAGCATCATCCTTTTCGTAACTGGGTGCTTTTCTGTTGTACCTCCGGTAATAATAATTGAATTGTTGACAATTACCCATGCACACTCTATATGGGAGTTTGGCTTTGGCATAGGTGGCAAGACTTTCCATTTCATTTCATCATCCAGCATATAAACATCTCCATAGACCACCTGAAATTTTATAAAGTTTAAGGCCGCAAAACAAAAGCATCGCGAGAAAACTTAATAGTAATAATTCAATGTCAGTCTCTCATGTATATTAGGTTTTTTTCTCAACGAGTGGGAATATAACTCATACCCCAGAGTTTACAGCACTCACACACCTTGTGCACTAACTACTTGCACTAGACCCCAACGGTATCATATATATTAAGTGCGACAAAAGAGGTGTAATTATGAGAAAGACTATATACAAGTTACAACATGCTATCAAGTTCAATTTCCCTTTCCATATATTTGAATTCAACTATTGAAACTACAATGGATCTGAAACTCATTTATGTAACAATAACCAAAGAAGATGATACCTCGTGTCTGCGTGAACACTTGAATATTGGTGAACCTGGTTTAGGCATGAAATCTCCCTCTTGTCCACCGATAACATAAAGGTGATCATTGGCAACAATGCAAGCCCTACACCAAATAAGGTGAAGTTTAGATGAAAGTCCAACAATTTCCTTTCATAGACAACGAATATTGCATCACTTTTCAAGTAATCCTTTAAACGCTTCTTAGATTTGTACTTTGTAGGGACCCAGGTTTGGTTTTCTTAAAACATGGATTTCTATTCAAATATTTAAAAGTGGTATTTTATTAAAATCTTCAGCAGAAGATACCATGGTACATGTGTATCACTAAAATATCAAATCAAAATCTCCACCAATTTATTCATTATAGAGTCAATCATAGTTATCAGTGTGAGTCATATCTTGATTTGATACAAAACTATATCTAATCGATACAAGTAACTAGTGTATATCTATTTCAAACATTAATTTCATCTAGAGTTCCAATAGATGTTGATAAATCCTGACTCATGTTAATGAGAATCTATTCACTATTCAGAAAGTAGGTCTTTTGATTCACAGTTTGAAGTCAAACTTATAATGTCTTGTATAACTTGAATTTAATGAGAACAAACATTAAGGTTAACCAATGATTATGCATAAAGGTCTAATAACCACAAGAATATAGGTAGTGTAGTCACCTATGTGGTCCACCACGAGGAATAGGAATTTCAGTCCGCCATTGTTTCTCCAAAGCTTTCCCATCCTTTACAGCCAGACTCCAATGATCCAAGGCAGGTGTATGGCGATTCTCCTTGCCACCACCCATTACATGGAGTCTCCCCCTCCACAATTGAGTTGCAGGAGCATACCTGAAAATTCCAATGTTAAAATCTGTGATTTTATTTTCAAGTTCAGGTACATATAAACAAAGTTATATAACAATATAAATTATTGAAAGAGTATTTTTCTGTATAATGTTTGTGTGTCTAATGAGATCACAAGATCACACTATGCATATTTATATCCGTATGAGTTGTATACAATAAGGTAATACAATAATTAGAATAGAGAGAGAAAGAGGCATACCTGGGGAAAGGCAATGGAGGCAAACTATCCCATTTCTTTGTTTTGGTGTCCAAGACAAACACAGTGGAAATAGGTCCTCTGCACTGTGGACCATACTGTCCAGAGACTATATATATGTACCTGCCATCAGTTGCAACTCCCAAATGTGAATGAGCCATTTGTTTTGGTGTATCAAATTTATCTACCCACTTATTGCTCCTGAAATCAAACACATCAACATGAGAGTGCACCTGCAATGCAAGAAATGAATAAACAAATTATCACAAAGTCACCTACTAATGGCATATAAAAGTGATAAGAAAATACTAACATGATCAAGATTGGCGTATCCTGAAAAGACATAAAAAAGATTTTGGATCTGAATAGCATAACCATCTAAACGAGGGACAGGAGCCGAATCCACTTGCTCCCAATTCCATTGAGGAGCAGGTATATCAGCAAATGTAGCGGAAAGAAATCTCTCGGGAGTTTTGTTCTTGACAAAATGTTGGTTATGAGGTGGTGGTGTTATGGTGGTGTTGTTAGGGATATCGATGAGCCAGTTGGAAGTGATAGACAGGTGAGCGGAAGAGTGGAAGATGTGGTTAGCGATGAAAGACATGGCGATGAATGTTGAGAGAGAGAGGAAGAGGATGATTCTGTGTTTAGGATGAAACTTGGCCATTGGTTTGAGATTGTATGAGTGGTATGAAATGTGGTGGCCATCTTGATTTATTGTTGTTGTTTGGGGGAAACTGTGGGAGATGGAGAATGAGAATTGAGAAGGAGAAAGGAAGGGAGTGTTGGCTTTTTAGAGGAAAGGAAACAAAACAATGGTTACGCGCCAATGGTTTTCGTTATTCAGTTTTTTTAAATCCACGCGCAAACCTGCACTGCACCTATTCTTCCTAGGATTTAAATTCACTTCTCATTTGCGTCTCTCTACGAGGTTACTTTTTCCCTACATATAATATAATTAAATATTAAACTAATTGAAAATATTTAAAATATATGAAAATATTGTCAATTCTTAATCTCGGATGATGAATTCCACGAGTCTCGTGGTAAAGTATCACCTTTGTCCATTTCAATATTTGACTCTTGGATATTTATCCTATTATACAAGATTGAAAAATTTATGAAACTTATAGCATTTTTCGACTCGATTGTCAAATTGTAGTTAAATTTATATATAGTTGTGTCATTTATTGACTTATTTTGTTGAAATTCCTTGAATAAACCTCAACTTGTATGTAAATATGTACATATAGTGTATAGTCGTATTTCCGTGTAAATATTGTATCAATTGATTGTTTTTAGGCATAATTAGTCTCTAGGTCCCTTAACTTTAAGCGAAATTTCGCTTTAATCCCCTAATTAAAAAACGTTTTATAGTGATCCCTTAACTTATATTCTTTTACATAATTTGGTCTCTTCCGTTAATTTTTCTAAAAAAATCATTCTTGTTTTGCCACCGTGGCGTAACAACTAGAATACTTAGTCAGCAAATTTATTTAAAAATTTGATCTGTTTTATTCTAGTCAGCAAATTTATTTAAAAAATTGATCTTTTATTAAAACTTGGGGTTTTTTCGGGGAACAAATTATAAAAAATATGAAAATTCTTCTCCTTTTATTAATAATACAATTCTTCTACTGTGAAATTTCAACATTCATATAAAACAAAAGAATCTAATTAGAACATGAATTTGATCCATGGCAATGATGATGATAGAATAAATTTCAACAAATTTCAACCACACATGGCAATGATGATGATAGATCCTTCAAACTTCTAGTTATCTTCGTCCAAGGATTTAACCTCCTTGTCAAGTGCATCCATAAAATAGGATATCAGAATGTGCTATGTGCAAATAGAGGAAGACCTTAATGAGACAATTAAATATAGACCTAGCCTTCCAAAATCCCCATCTCAAACACAACTAGACCCTATGTGTAACCCAACAAACAAGTGATAATGAAATGTTGTTTCCAAAAAATGCACCGACAACTAACTATACCCGTAACAAGCTCTCACATAGGTAGCTTTATAACTGCTTGAATCGCTAACTTGTGAGCCTCCCATGTAGCAAGTTAAGACTAAAAAACCAAGAGCAACAAATAGATTGATCAATATCAATAGTATAAAATCACTCCTATGAAATAAATGGAACTAACCATTCAAATTCAATATAAACAAACTGGAATTGAAAACCCTTCCAATCATCAAACGCAATGTCGGTGACCTGATACTGATGACCTTTGAGTGTGTGAAATTTCCCCACGTGTTCAAGTCCCAAACCAAGACAAGAGTATCCATGCCGCCATAAGCCACACTGCCTTGTGGCAAATCGGAATTTGGAGGAATCCATGTCAATGGACCGACGAAGCTGGTGTGACCTACCAGGAGTTTGGAAGAGACGAATTTGCGATTGTCCTGAGACCATAACCTAACGGTTTCGTCCCTGGATGATGTGACTATGTCGTCGTTGCCGCATATGGTTATTCCGCGAACCTGGTGGTTGTGGTGGGGTTAAGGGAATCGTCAAAGGAATTATGAATGAAATTGAAAGGGAAAGAGAAAACTTACGCCGTCTTCATGGCCGTGAAGTTCACAGCGTAACTAGTACTATTTGAAATCAATGTCCATTGTGTTATTATTCCCTTCCACTCAAAAGCGACAAAAATCCAACATAAACTCTCTCATTGGTGGATCTTCAACAAAAACTCATGATCAGAGAAATTCAAAAAACTCATAATCAACAAAATTCCAACAGAGACTCTTCCTTGTGTTCATCCAGATCTAAAAAATACAAAAATTAATGGAATAAAAATGAAAACTTTATGGGTAAAAAAGTTGAATCGAAGCCGCCCACAAAGCTGATTCAGTTACTATAATTTTCTAGGGTTAAGATCTGGAAAAAAATGTTGAGAAAGGCTTCGGAACACCAAAGAATTGGGGTTTGTTGCCCTAATACCTTTTAGATTATTTTTTTTTATTTCAAAGATTTAAATCAATATAAAATAATGAAATTTCATATTTAATGTCTACAAGGCAACATTTAATGTTTTTTCACGAAAAACTAATGGAAGGGACCAAAATATTTATAGGAATGTTAGTTAAAAGATCACTTATGTAACATATTATAGTTAAAGGACTAAAGTGAAACAATAACTTAAGTTAAGTGACCAAAAGAGGTATTAGACCTTGTTTTTATCTCATTTTATGTAGGTATGCATGCATGGTTGAAGCATTGGAATCAAAGGCAAAAGTATGGATTCAATTGTGCAAGTTTTGATCGAAAAATTTCGGTCAAATGGACTAAGTCCAAGTTGAAGCGCAAAACTCGCTTAGCCCAGTTTGAAGCGCGCTTGGACTTTTTTAAACAGAAGGTAGGGCTAAGCCCCAAATTTGAGGCTAAGCGCGGTCTGCGACTAAGGCGATTTGGTGCAATAAGTGGAAGCGCGTTTAGCGGACTCTGACGGAGTTAAGCACGACCTGCGATGTCGAAAGTGTATAAATAGAGTTCAAATCAAATTTTATAGGGAATCCACCATATCTTTAGAGGTGTGATCACCATTCTTTGAGTAAAGAGACTTAGAAAACAACATTAGAGACTGCATCTTGATGATCTGGAGTTGAATTTGCTTCAATCGTCTTGACACCGCGAGAGTTGTCGGTTCATCTCCCTTCTTCTCTTTGTATTCTTTATTGTTGGGGTTTGTTTGTAAATTTACTTTGATTTTATGTATATGTATTGATCATGACGTTGAATAAGATCTATTTTACAAATTTATATCGATGTTATCCTTGTTTACTTGCTTTATCTTTGGATTTGAGTTGTTATAGACATATACTCTTCAGATCTAGATATAGGATGAACAACTATTAGGTTCTAAACTCTAGAAATAGATATAGATCTAGTATTCATAGTGGGTATCGATGCTTAATGCTCGTGTTGTTTAGTTGTGTGAGACAATACGGTCGGTGCTTCAAACATAAACGCTGATGTGAGGAATACATGATGATATTGATGAGTGTTTTAGGTTGTCTACAATTAATTTGTAGGCTTAAATATTTGATGGGTAGATGAAATTCAATCCCGACGAGTTTTCTCCTCTCTAGAGAATGCATTATTTACTTGTTCACACGCTTTACTTTCCGCACTTTATGCTTTTAAACCATTCAAAATCAAACTCATAAATGTATAGACTATTGAATGGCATTTGATCCCACATATTAATCCCTATGGAGACGACACAATAAAATACTTACTTTTGCTTGTTGTTTTACCGCAACAACAAAATGGCGTCGTTATCGGGGATTGGTGTTTAGATATTGAAAGCATTGCAATAATTTCTATGTTTTTTAGCTTTGTACATATTATCTATATTGTATTTACACTTGTATATTTATACTTGTATATTTATACTTGTATATTTACTTGTCTATATTTTTCATACTTGTATATTTGTATATGTTTTCTATAACACCCAAGATTTAGAATTAATTATATAATTGATTATTTGTGATTTATTAGTGATTATTTGTGTGATGTATGAGGTATGTTGTGAGGTAGTGGTGGACTAGGGTTCTAGTTAAAATAATTTAGATTTAGATAATTTTAGTTTAATTATTTAGATGTTATAATATAGTTTATATTATTTAGAATTATTAATAACAATTAAATAGAATAATTGGTGTGTAGAGATACTAAAGGCATGGTGGCAATATATGATGATAAGTGGGGGCATAAGAGGAATAAAATAGAAAAGATCCTAGGGGTAAAAATAGAAAATAGAAGAATAGCAATCATTTTATGCGATCGTAGAGTTGGGAGAAACGCGAATAAAAGGCTAGGGATCAGAGGAGGATTCTATACAACGTGAAGGAAGAGAATCAATTTCTAGGAATTGAGGTAAGGAGTTTAATCGGGTTTATTATTATCGATAATGGGTTAAGGTAGAAGTATGTTTTTGTTGTATGATTGATTTGATGAAACATGTGATTGATTTGATGGCATAATGATGTAATTGTTGTTGTGAATGATATACGAATACCATGATTTAATCCCAATATGTGTTTATACATGTTTTGGAGTTAATATGTGACATGTGATGGTTATAATGTGTTTTGAGATGAGCATGATATCTATAATCGCAATTGGAATGGATGGGAACAGTGCATAAATTGCAACTGAGAAGTTGCAGTTTCGCAAGCACCATCGGGCGAGGAGAGCGCCCAAGCGTCACTGGGCAAGTAGAGCACCTCTAGCATCGTCGGGCGAGCCTCGGGCGAGCAGCCCTGGCAGCAACTTTCAGAGGCCATAACTTGAGTTTCAAGACTCTATTTGACACGTCGTTTGAAATATTGAGAAGCTAACACGTTGAACTAAATTATGACTAAACTATATGAGTTGTTTGATGCATGATCCCAGTACCTATGTGTTGATTATGTTTAGTTATTACATGTTGTTACGTTGTCATATTCTATTTGTTTTAATGATGAACTTAATGTTGCTATGAAGTCGTTATGAAGTGTTATGAAGTGTTATGATATTGCTGTGACGTAATTGATGTTGTTTAAGTTGATGTTTGAAATGATATGCATGTTAATATGTATACATGCTATATGGAGAATGATTATGTGAATGATGATGCACTTGACTAGATATGGTCGAATTGATATATATGACATTGTTGTGCATCATGCATTCATAGCATTTTTGGACGTTGGTTTGTCCGTGTTGAGCCTCAACCCCATTGTGAGGATTATGTGTGAATAGTTAAGTCCTTGTTAGGGATTTAGTGAAGTGTTACTGTGATACGGTGGGAAGAACTGACTATTTTTGGAATGTTGGTTTGCGTTTTGCGTTTGTTTTTGCAAAATGTCGCGGTAAGCAAGAGTCGCCACCGACTTTTATTTTATCCAACAAGGAAAGGAAAAAAGCACAGAAAAATTCCTTTTTCGAGATATTTCTCGGGTTTGGGGGGTAAATTATAGAAAGGGAAGGTGTTAGCACCCTTTCTATCCATGGTTATCCACGGGCTCTTAGGTACTTGCTCATATTGTTTTTCAAAATGGTTTTCTTTGTGATTGTGGGTTTGAAAAAGTTTTTGTTTGAAAACTTCGATTTAACTCTTGCTTCTGTCCTTAAGAGTGTAATGAAGTGTTTTGAAAACTTTGTTCGAAAAGGAGTGTAAGTGTGAAAAAGATTTTGTTTTTGTTTTTTGAAAGAGCAAGTACTTAAGAACCATCTACCTACTCGAAAAAGGAATCGTTCTATGCTATCTTCCTTTAGACAATGCTATCCCACTATTGATGAGTAGGTAGCATCGTCGTTGGAGTTTAAGGGTCAATTCGAATTTAGGGACTTACGGTCACCAAAGCAATGTTAGTTCGCCTTAGTGGTAACCCTAATGTCTTAGATCATTTGTTTTGAGGCAACAATATCCGAGGAAACCGTTTCGAGGCGACTATGATCTTTGGACAAGAGGGTGACCTCTAAAGTGACCTATACTCAATGACCGTGTACGAAGACAACCAAGTGGGGTATACCCTAAGAGTGCACATGTGCGAGTGTGTTGTTTTCAGTTAATTTTGTCTTTGTACATATCAATGGTTATCTAAGTTGATTTTAGGTTAAAACATCCAGTCTTGTCATGCATCCTTATTATCAAACATCTAACAGTTTATAAGTTGCGGAAAATAAATTGCGGAAATTAAATTACAAGGCGTCGGGTATTTACATCGCCAAAAGCAACCCTTTGAAATTTAAATGCGGAAAATAAATAAAGCGATAAAAATAGACCTATTAAGCTATTACATTCCGGGAACAAATACAATATTGAATAAAATGGATCGCGTGCGGGAAATTAAATCGGGCGCAAGTTCTAGGGTTTTGACCCTTTGCCATTAAAGAAAAGATTTTTTGATTGTTTTTTTGAATTAAGAAAGAAATTAATCTAAGTCAATTATTAAGTTAATTAATTAATTAATTAATGAAAATAAATATTTTTGTATTTTTGTATTTAAAGAAAGAAAATAAAATTGATCAATGTTAATAAAACCTAATTATGTCTAAGTTAATTTGATTATTTACAAAATATATTAAAGTTATCCTAATTAAAACTAAATTAATATAATTAGTATTTATTAATAAAAATTAAAATTTGGTTTTAATGAAGAAAAATATTTTTTGGTTTTATTTTTATAAAGGAAAAAATTTGATTGGTTAATTGATTAAATAAAAATAATAAAAACAAATAAAATTAAATAAAAGAAATAGAAAGAGACAGGAGGTTTGGGCCTGATTTGGAGGTCTGAATATCAATTCCAAGGCCCAATAACACGCTGGTCTGGTGGACTTTTTGGATTCCATGCACGCCTTTTGACTTGGTCCCATGGTGGACCATCATCCTGGATCACCAGATCTGGCCTTGGGCC